TATCGAATAAAAATCCCTGAAAATTGGTTATAGTGTTAAACTTATATTTCTTTATAAATTTACTATTTTTTATAATTTTTTATCGATTGGTTCTTGAGAAAAATGGTAAATAATTTCCTTTTGGGGGTCATAAGTTTTCAATTTAAATTACTATCAAAATTATTAACTTTAGAACATAAATTTTATATAATTTTGCTTCAAATATGCTCAAGATTATATACTAATTCTAATTATATTTCAAAAGTACTCTATGCCATGAAAATTCAACCAAAATCTATAAATTAAAAAAGTCGGTATAGATATTTTCGAACTTTTTAATTTGTACACTTTTATTGATTTTTCTCTGCATAAAGCATTTTTAAAGCAAAATTAAGGTAATATTTATCTTTTTTAGTTGTATTTAGAAATATTTTATGCATTTATGATCAATTTATACCAAAATCAGATATCTGTACCCACTTTTTTAATTTGTACTCTTTTTGAATTGAGCATTTTTGAAGCAAAATTCATTTAAAATGCAATAATTGGTAAATTTTTCATATTTTTTTTTAATATTTATCTTTTTTAGATGTATTTAAGAATATTTGTTTTTTTAATCAATTTATATCAATATATGTGATTTTCCAATGGAGTACCTTGAACCCGTAGTATGGGCAAAAAATAATAATGCCAAATAACGAGTAGAAAGAAAGGAGAAGAATTATTTTTTTTCACGCTTAATTTTTCATAAACATTTAATTTCTTTCATTAATTTTTTTTTAATTGGATTTTAAATATTATTCAAATTCTCTACAAAAAATTAATGCCGAGGTCCCCTTGTTTAAAGTGTGTCTCTAAATTTTGTTACATCTGTGCAGGCTATATATTGCCCGCACAAAAATAATTTCCCAATCATTCAAAGGATTTATGAAATGTATTACAATATTCACTCTGCGATTTGGATAAACCATTTGCCCCTAATTACATATTTAAAACATGTTATAATTCTTTTATTCATGGGTAAATGGAAAACGGTCATATTTGCCTTATTCGAAACCTGCATTTTGGCACGAAGAAATCATTCGTGGGATTGTTATTTTTGCTCGATTAGTACATTTGGGTTTAACAAAAAAAACAAGAAGAAAATTCGTTATCCTGAAATTTCGTCGGTTGCTTATCCGGTAAAATATAATATGCATACAACAGTTCCTTTTTTTAATAGTTCGCAGCTGGACAAATTACGTTGCCAGGACAAACACAATATTGATCTTGAGTATCATCCCGAAGAGGATTCGCCATTTATGTCACAAGAGCAACTAAATAACATAACCAGAAATTTACAACTTTCAAAAAGAAAGTCCGAATTTTTAGCCTCAAGGCTTAATGATCTTAAAATTTAAAAAAATGGAGTTCGAACTTTATACCGATTCCGTGGAGCATCGTTTAAAAATTTATTCTCTTACGAAATTTTTTTATATTATTCCAACAATCTAGGTCAACTTTTTTTACAACTTAATATTGAATTGGTGCCCGATGAATGGCGCTTGTTCATAGATTCAAGCAAAAACAGCTTGAAAGCAGTTTTGCTTCATAACGGAAATTCTAAGCCATCAATTCCCATCGCCTATTCCAACCAGTTAAATGAATCATATGAAAATATGAAATATTTATTGTCAAAAATAAATTATTCCATTTACGAATTTAAGATATGCTGCGATCTCAAAATGATCTCAATCCTGACGGACCTTCAGTTAGGCTACACCAAGCATTCGTCTTTTCTTTGTCTCTGAAATTCCAGAGAAACTCTAAAACATTATACAGTATCTGAATGGGAGGATCGTCCCAACGTTCTTGAAAAAAATCGCGTAAATATCCCGCTTGTTTCTAAAAATAAGATTTTGTTGCCTCCGTTGCACATAAAATTAGGACTAATCAAAAATTTTATCAAAAAATTGTCCGAGGGCCCCACGATATATACCTTAGAAATTTTTTCCCCAAGCTTTCTCAAGCAAAAATAAAAGAGGGGATTTTAGTGGGCCCCCAAATAAGAAAACTCATGAAGGACAGTTTTTTGAAGATGAATTGTTACTCATTAAATTAAAAGCATGGGAATCTTTTAAATGGATATGCAGATCGTTCCTTGGCATTCATAAATCAGCCGACTATCGTGAGAATTGATGACCTATTAACAAATTATAAGAAGATGGGATGCCGAATGTCCCTCAAAATCCAGTTTCTTCATTCCCATAAAGATTTTTTTCCTGAAAACTTTGGTGCTGTGTCAGAAGAAATGGGGGAGCGGTTCCATCAAAAGATAGAAAATCTCGAAAAGTTTTATCACGGCAAGAATCGTATAAATATGTTGGCGGACTACTGCTGGAGTATCTTTTTTAAAGATAAATCATCAACTTCATATTCGCGGAAATATATTTAGATGTACCATTAAATGTTTTTAAATTCGATAAATTTTATGTTATTGTTTTTGTTTTAAATTCAATAAATTTATTGTATATTACAAGTTAAATCCTATATAATAATGAAGGAGGGGGTGGGACAACGGACAGATAAAAGGTTTATTAAAAGTAAAACATGAGATAGGTTATCTTAGCATAATATATTTATTTAAATATGAGAAATATAACTATTTAATTTAAATAAATTGTTTGGGAATCGTACCGTGTGCAGTGTAGCGAAGAGAACGAAAGCCATAATAAATAAATATATTAAATGTAAGCTATATTAAAAAAGATTTTATAAATAAAGGTAAATTTAAAAAATATAGGTTGTTTAAAAATTGAGTAAGAATTTTATAAAAAAAAAGTATAATAATAATAAGGAAGGTTTGCTGCAAAAATTAAGATATTTTTTTAGTTGTAGGGATCATTAGAACCGAAGTTATAAACCTTCAAAAAGTGCTAAAAATGACCTTTTTGGCCACTTTAACCTAAAATAAATAAAATACCTGACGTGCTAGAAAAAAACTGACAGCGGATTTAGAATATGCATAAAAAACTATCTTAAAACATGTTTATTTTATTTTCTCCCAAAAAATCAAGAAATTTGTCACACTATTTTTAATTTATTTATATTAAAGGATTTAAACTATTTATTATGAGATAAAAGGAAATACAACTATTAATATCTATTCATTTTTTATTGATTATATCTAATAATATAATTTTTATAAGTTATACATATCATAAGAAATTGAATCTTACTCCAATTAATAGAATATATATCAAAAATTTTTACCTAAGCATTTGCATTTTAACTTGGCATTTGCAGTTTACCTTAGCATTTGCAGTTTAGTCAAACCCCAGTAAATTCGCTAACATATAAATTGGATTTAAATAAGGTATGAAATAATGATTGTTGTGAAGCTATAAGAATGAGGAATCAAATTATTTATTTTTTTCAATAAATAATCTACATAATAGTTGGCGGATTTTGTCAGCGTTTCAAGAAATGTTATATAATCTATTGAATTCGCTAATATACTATTCATATCAACGTGTTGAAGATGTTTTTTAAATTCTTAAAATTTAGACACAATTACAATTTTTGTTATTAGAGGTTTGACATAAAATTTGTATAATTGAAATGATATTTTGAGAATTAGATTAGCCAATTCCAACATATTTTGAAATAATATTCATTCAAAAATTTGGCAATTATTATGTTTATTTTAAAATTTATCTATCATCTATGGCAGGGAGAACATGGAAAATAAATAAAGCGATTTTTATGTTCAATAATACTTAATTTATACTATATTTACCTTAACTACCAATGATAAGATTCGTAATATTTATAATTATATTATTAATCCTATGTCCAAAATTGATTCACTTTTTTGTAAGCAATATGTATTAAGAAGCAACTGTCTTAAGTTTTATATTGGGCAATTATATATTAAAATATGATTGCTTACAAAAAGTAAACAAGCATTCAGAGTAGACTGAAATATTTGTTTTTCTTCTGGCTAAATAACCACCAATTATATCATAAATATTAGAGAATATGCAAAAAAAATGATTTTTATAACTTTTTTTTTACCCAATGAGCAAAAGATCTTTGAAGATCACAAAATTGAAGATTTTTTTTGTAGAAGATTAAGATATATTATTGTTTCAATAATGTAAATATTTTATGCATTCACAAAAGATTTTTTACAAAAAAAATTTGCAATTTTGTGATAAAATTTGATCAAAAATCCTCTCTCAAAAAAAATATTTGGAGATTAAAAGTCTGAAGATTTTTTTTTTAAAGACCATTTCAAACTCTGAGATTAATCACTATTTTATTGTATAAAAATAAAATATATTGAATTAGTTGATATTTTAAAATTTAACGAGAGAGAATTGATAATCGATTTCAATTACCTTACCTTTCCCATTCATAATAATTAAGTTTAAGGCATGTGTGAAAATTTCTATGAAAATAACAAATAACATTGTAGCACATTAAGGGGGGGGGGAGGATTTATAAAAAAGTGATAACAAACATAATCGAGAATGACAATCGATAACAGTGCCAAATATAATTTATATTGCCTCGGGTAATAAAAAAAATTACTTTAAATTTTGAAAAATTATTTGTTTAAATGTGTAATATTATGATAGAATTTGTTATTATTGCATATTAATTTTGTCAATTATATAAACATAATTCAGAGACCTCCCAAGACATATTTTATAAGCCGGCCCAGATTTAAAATTTTTCCTATTTTAAAGTCCAACTAAATTTTAAAAATAACAACTCGGTTCGGGTTTTTAATTTGGTCATTTCGAATAATTTAAAATCAAACAGATATACTTATGGAGGCTTCGTTATTTTGTTAAGGTAAATCGAAAAAAATTAGAACGAATGAATTTTAAGTGATCATCGTATGATTTTTCAACGGGATAATGGAAATTTATTGTAAATAATCCCAGCATTTGTTATTTCTAGCTCTGATAATAATTTATGATATTAAAACTTGTTAGATTAGTTTAGATAAAATTATTAAAACATATGAATAGGGACATGCACAGATATTTTTCACGCATACAATTGCACTTGCCCCCCAGGATTTAACGGTTCTGTATGTCAAAACAATATTGATGACTGTTTTCCTGCTGCTTGCCTAAACGGGGTATGCAAGGATGGTATCAACAATTACGAATGCGTGTGCTCTCCTGGATACACGGGGAAAATGTAAAAATAAATTTTAAATAAGTAATTGATAATCTTGATTCATACTTTATATATTTGACAGGTGCGAAATCAAGATCGATCCTTGCAAAAACAGTAGGTGTGAAAACGGAGGCAAATGTAGGGCTATAAATGAATTAGACTACACGTGCGAGTGTGGAGGAGACTCTATGTTTATTGGGGACCTCTGTCAAATTCCAATTAATTATAATTGTGACAATGGAAATATTTGCGAAAACAATGGTCTATGCAAAAATGGCGAATTTTTCCTGAATGATGATTTAAATGTATATGTGTTAAGCCTTATAATTAATTTAATATATTATTAAATAATACTATAGAAAGTAAAATCCTTTAACTGCTTATGCTCAAACGGTTATGAAGGTTTATTATGCGAGAAGAAACACGATTATTGTAAATCGAACAAATGTGTTAATGGAACTTGTGAACCAAATGCACTATCTGAAAATTACACGTAAATTAATAAAATTGTTATATGTGATATTTGGTTCTTGCAGTTGTACATGTATACCTGGATATCATGGAATTTATTGTAATCAAGATATCGACGAATGCTTAGAAAATCCAACCTTGTGTCAGAACAATGGCACGTGCCATAACACGAATGGGAATTATAGCTGCGTGTGTAAGAAAGGTAAAATTTATAAGATTTTACAATAAAAATATTTTACCTATTTTAGGTTGGAAAGGAAACTCTTGCGCTATTGATATTGATGAATGCTCTAATGGTGAACTATATCCTTGCCAAAATGGAGGGCTATGTGAAAATTTATTAGGAAATTTTTCCTGTAATTGCCACAACACAGGTTTTGTAGGTACGTTTTTTTTTAATTTTTCTAAAATTTTGAAATATTACATATCTTTTTTTTCCCTGGTATGGGATATTAAACTTGAATGTTAGTATCATATAATTATAAGTTAAATTTAATTTTAGAAGTTTTTTTATCATAAATAAAATATAGGTCGATTTTGTGAAAATGATATCAACGAATGTCTAGACCCATCTTTAAATCTATGCACTGAAAATGGACGATGTATCAATACTATCGGATCTTATCAATGCGAGTGTCATCAAGGGTATTCAGGAATAAATTGTGAATCGGCCAATTGCTCGTTAATACAATGCCAAAATAATGGTACTTGTCAAATTAACGAAAAGAATAACACTTGGAGATGTATATGTTCTCACAATAGCTATGGTATTTTATTATAAAACAATTTAGACTGTTATTTTTTAATATTTTAAAAAAGACCTTATTAATATTTGGGGTTACCTAGAACTTTAAAATCCACGTCTGGGAGTAAGCTCTTTTCTAGATAATATTTTTTTAAAAGGATAAGATTAGTAGATAAATTTCGAAATTATATTTTAGAGATAAATAAAACCTACGATGTGAATATTAAATTTAGTTTCATGCAGATAAGACAAAAAGTTAGCTTTTTTAAACTCAAGTTAGCTCAACACCGATCTTAACGAATAGCGAATTTTAATCTCCAAAAACATCTGGAGAGATAAATGGAAAAATAGTCCAATCTAATTTTTAAAAAAATGAATAACCCCAAACATTTTTAATATAAATTATTAAATCGAAGATAGATTTTCAATATTACATTGGAAAATAAATCTTATATTGGGAATTTTGAATAACAAGGTCTAAAATTCATTATGTGCAATCTAACCATTTTTTGATCTCAAAGCAACACTACCTTGTTAAGATTATATATAGCAATTGTGTGACCCAGATAAACCCGAGGATAGGAGGTGGGGGGGGGGGGGAGCTTTAAAAAATTTATAAATGGTCTATAAAACTTACAATTTGTCATTATTTATAGGATACTTTTTCCAAATCTACTTAAATTAATCAAGCTACACATTATATATTAAATATAATTTCAAAAAAAAAATTGACACTTATTTTAAAATAATCATAATATGTTTTGCAATAAAATTTATAATATAAAATGAATCAAATTTAATATTTTATTTTTTCCGCATATTAAAAGGTTTATTCTGCGAAAATCTCAGTTTTTGTCTCTATGAACCATGCGTTTCGGGCATATGTTACAACAAACCGAATCCTTTATATGGGTTGAACTACACTTGCGAATGTGATAGCAGCCATGGCGGTCCCAATTGTTCCGAACCATACGGCTTTTGCTTGACAAAACCCTGCGGTCCAGGCACCTGTTTTAACAAGCCGAACACTGAATTCAATCTGAATTACACTTGTCAGTGCCCTGCTAATTTTACGGGCCCTAATTGTGAACCTTTAGATCGCTGCGAAAAGAATTTATGTGTAAATGGAGACTGCATCAACAATTTCTTCAATTATACCTGTAAATGTCTGCCTGGATATTCGGGTAATGTTTAATAAATATTTTATTAATTAAATTATTTCAGAAGACTATCTTCATAAATTTTATAATCAAACATTTTAAATATATTAAATGTAGGCATATATTGTTCAATAAATAATAACGATTGTGAACCTAATCCTTGCAATAATTCGGGAAAATGTTTTGATGAAGTTAATTCCTTTAAATGCTTATGCGATGGAACTGGTATCATACTTTCTTAAAATTTCATTTTTTAATAAGTTTTATATAGGTTACGCGGGACCTATTTGTGCTGATGATGTGAATGAATGCAATCAAAATCCATGCAAAAACAATGGAACTTGCAAAAATCTCCCCGGAAAATACAAATGTGATTGTCCAAATCATTTAGGCGAAAACTGCGAGATAATTAATCCCTGCGTTCCAAATCCATGTCAAAATGGTGGAAAGTGTAAAACTGCCATAGCAAATAACTTTGTCATATCAGAATGCGACTGCATTGAATCATTTAGTGGAGAAATTTGTCAAAATGTAAATTAGTCTTTATAATTATACCTTTACTACTTGTTGAATTAAAAAAATAACCCTTGATAGAATAATTTAATTTTTTTATCATATAAACGATTTACTTATCAAAATAAAATATCTTTCATTTTTAACATAAAAATTATAATTTAGTATGTATATATAATTTGATTACATTTTATTATTAATTCAGGACCCTGACGCTAAACCATTAGTTGGGAATAGGAGAAGTAGAAAGGTGGCGGCATCTTTAATTGCGGGGCCCATCGCCGCTATCCTACTTTTTATCGGTCTTGTAGCACTTATAGCCTTCATATTAACTGCCAAAAAAAAAAGGGCTACTAGAGGGGCTTACAGTCCTTCTAAACAAGAGGTCACTAGCTCACGCGTCGAATTAGATCATGTACTTAAACCTCCTCCTGAAGAGAGACTAATATAATTCAATCTTTCCTATAATGACATTCGAAATTGAGTAGGTTCCCAAGGCCGAAGAATTACCATTTAATAATCATTTTATCACCAATTCACTCAGTTTGAATAAAATCCGAGCCTATATTTTAATGAATATGTATTTATTAATATGTTTTTTAAATATATTTATGCACGGTTGATAACACATTGTGATATTTTATATAATTTGTATGAAATAATATGCCTTAATTTTATACATGATTTTATAAACCATATATTAATGGTCTTTTTAATTATTTATTTTTAAAATTTTACACATTCCATGTAGAAAATAAGGTTATATTATATATGATGATTGAAAATAAATTATAGTTATGAATTGTAAGTCACATGAAGAATCCACACTTAAGGCCCTCTAAACCCACCATCCCAAATATTAATTCTAAATTGAGAGCAAACATCTAATTTTGATAACAATTCATCTACATTTTAAGCTGCCAAAACCTATGTCCGACGATCTAACTCGAACCGATATTTATCATTGATTAAATTTTCATATGGGTTGGAGTCGGATTTCGCCAAAATTCTAAATTATTTTCTAATTTTATAATGATTATTTTTAAAATTTTTCTTTAGTTTTTCCGCTTTCCTTGAGATAATACTTAACCGGACTCGAACCTATATTCTAAAATAAGAGTTCGGTCTCAGATTTTCAAAAAGTGAGTCGGATCTATCTAACAAAATCAGGACGGATCTGTAGAAAAATATAACAATCTTTTTTGATCTTTGATAATGCTCAAGTATGATTAAATTTTATCTAAAATTTTAATCTTTTCTGTAAAAAGTCTTTTGTATTTTTTTTGTGCATAAAAAATCTTTCATGAAATTAAACATTTTAATTCAAATATTCGGTTCTTCTATAATTTTCGATGTCTAGTATGTTGAAATTTAAAAATTTTATACAATCTGCATAAAACTTTGTTTTTATCATAAGTTATTAAAATAATTTATATCGAAAAAATCTGATTTATACTATAAACTTTTATAATAGTTTCGATAAACATAAAAAATATAATTTAAATTTATTAAATCATTTCCTTTGTTCCTTAATCTCAATGATAGTACTAGTGTTGTTAAATAATCGAGTTCTTACGACTCGGAATTCGCGTCGTAGTCGTAAAGAAAGGCTCCGACTCAATCCGCTGTATGAGCTGACTCCATTAGTCGGCTTAAATTTTTAAATTTATTTATAAGCAAATGATAATTTTTGATATTTATTTTTTACATGTATAACGGGTCCATTCGAGTCGATTTTTATAAACCGGCTAATTCAAATGTTTAGTAAATTGCTAAATTATGGGTTACTGATTAATGTGAATAAAAATTTTAAAAAGACATTATCTCCATTTTATTTTAAGAATATTTATGTCGAAACTAGGGTTCTGGACCCGAAATCGGGTTCATTAAATAATGCAAAAATTTGATTTTATTGTATAAAAATTACATAAAAATAATACTATACTTCATCATAATTTTATACAATCATATTTTAAAATATAAGAACATAAAATTTACAAATAGACTCTGTAATTTAAATATTTCAGAATATAATTTGTAAATTATAATAATAGTAAAAAAAATATAATATTAGTAAATCACAATTATATAAAGTCATTAATTCTTGCTATTTTTTTATTGATTGAGATTCAAGTTCCCTTTTAGCGCTAACATTATAATAGGTAACAAAATGGCCAAAGTTGGTGGAGGATAGGAATGATGTAAAGATCACGCGTATTTTGGAGTTGTTCAATACAAAACCGGACACACTTGAGTCTTCCAAAGAGTATTTCGATAGACTGAAAGGGTATGGTTCGGGGCTCAATCCTGAATTTTTGTCGGTGCATTTTATGTTGAATTGTCGTAATGAAAAGCTAAAAAAAAGGTTGATTGAAGAAAATACTACAGAGATTAATATTATAGAGGACATTGTTGTCAAATTTCATCGTTGGAGATCAATAATAATAAAACATATGTAGATGAAGATTCTTGGAGAAGAGAGGATAGAACCGATTGGCAAGGCTATTCGTCTTGGAAAGAGAACAAGCAGACTTTTAAGGCTAACAACAACAATTACAACAACAGCAGCAACAACAACAACGGCAGAAGAAACAACAACAACAATTTCAAAAAGACGGAGATGATACAAACCCTTTATAATTTAAGGCCAATAAATAAAATTAATTTTATTAATGATATTATGATTGACCTTCAAGTTAATAATTATGATTTTTCTTTTATGATAGATACTGGTTCTCCGGTGTCATCCTTGCCCATGAAAGAGTTTGAAAAGCTTACGAAGGATGAAGTTGTTAATACTAAAGAGATAGAAGATAGGGTTAATTTTTTAAATTTTTATAATCCGTTATCGCTTCGAATAGGAATCGGTTGATTGTTCAATGACAATGACTTTGATTTACTACCTTAATTTTAAAAGAATTAATTTTTGAGAATTAACTTTACGCAACTCCGTTTTTTTTTCAAAGTGAGCATCAATCAATTATGGCGTGGGGGTATTGTCATTGAGAGGATCAGTAATGTCATTTGAAATTCAAATTTTCTAAGGTCAAAATTATTCATTTAGATTATAATGGTTTTTTAATTATAATTGTTTTCTATGATAATACGCTTTTCTTATTTTTTTATCACCATCTCCAAATTTTTTTTCATATATTTTAATGATTGTTTTTTTTTGATTAAATTATTTTCTTCATTATATAAATTTTATTCCAAATATATTTATTGTTTATTGGCCACCTATAGTGTGAATTGTACCTATTGATAGTGTAATTTATATCTTTTGTAAGGGTAATTACATAAAAAAACTATCATGTACAACTATGGTGCCAAATACATATATTTTCATTCTTAAAAATAAATATAAATTACCTCTCGCATGCCAAAAGAGTTCTTTCCTTCCCCATTTTTTTGTACCATGTTGTATTTTCAAGATTTAAAATTTTTTTTTTATATATATTTTTTGGAGGTGGTGCATGTTGCATGTGCGCTATTATATTATTACTTACTGAAATAATTTATATTTAAGATAAGTTAAACTATTATATATTTAAATACTTAAATAATTTATATTTAAAAGTTCAGTTATCATATCTTAAAGCAACAAAATATATATAAATAAATATATATTTTCATTCACCATCACTTGTTTTTCTGATATATAATAACTTGAATTATTTTCTTTTTAAATTATATAAATAAAATACCAAATTACTATAACAACCATTCTAGATTAAATATTCAAGCCTTATAAATTCTCTTTCATTAGCCTATATTACATCCTGTGCGACCATTCTAATAACCATTCTACATTAAATATTCAAGCCTAATAATTATCATTCTCATTACTATGCATAGGATGTTCAATTACGGGGTTTCGGGTATTGAAAAAATAAAGCTGAGATAATTGTATTTTACTATATTTATGGCTAATCGTTGGCGTAGGTAGAATCCCTAGTTGGAATCCTCGGTCTAGCAGAGATCCGTTTTCCCAGCTCTTTAAAGAAGTCTAGGGCATGAGAGCCGAACGACGTTAGAGTAGTGGCGATTAATGGTAGGAATGTATAATTGGCGGGAAGAGATGGCGAATATTTAGCTAGTTTATTCGCCTCAGCATCTAGTATGGCATCTCTATTTATATTGGAAGGGCCAAGAGGATTGATGCATGAGAAATCTAAGTTAGGAATTCCCCCTCTTCCAGGGGATCATAGTCGAACCATCGGAATTATAAAGGCCAGTAGGTTATGCCTGCATATTTTAAGGCCCGGCAATGGTATAATATTTTAATTTCTTTACTATTACTATTTAGATTTTTATTTACAAAATCTCTATTATTAAATATTGTTAAAATATAATTATATTGTTTAAAAATTACATAAAATTATTGTGATTATATCTTAAAATATGATAGATAATGTAAATAAATTTACTTGTTAGTTGGGTAGTGAGTGATTCTTTTTGATTTACAATCTTCATATACCTTAATAGCGTAATTACATTATATCAATTCATCAAATTTTGGTATACTTCTAGATAATCATTAAACTCTTGTAATTTTATTGAATTTGTAATTTCGCACTATATATTACTAAAAAAAATATTTAAATGGATTATGGTTTAGCAAACCCCGCTACCTCTAAATTTACTAATCGTGATTTAAGTAACATCTAGACATAATAAATACTCATAAAACTATATCAAATTATAAGAGTTTTAAAACTTTGTTATACAATTTAATTTATATTTAAATAATTTTATATTAATAAAAACAAATTCTGACATGTAAAAAATTAATTATTTCAAAGTTTTTTTGTCTATAGATGTAAACTAATAAAAGCTATATTAGGATAAAATTTTAAACTTCTGGTGTATTTAATTTTAAAATGAGATTAAGTGTTTGCCAAGCCCCGGGGTTAACTAACCCGTCTCCTTACTTTATTAGAACTTGATTCATTTTATTTTGGTAAAATGAATGAAATAGAAGATAGAATTACTAAATGCGACACAACGTACCATTCAGAGTTTTGGTTTATACTTGTTTCTTATTCTTAAATTTAGTTTTGTATAGAAAAATTTTGAAATCGATGAAGTTCTTTTATAATGATTTTTTAAAGCTTAGGCAAATTGGAGTATCATCGCTATGGGCCGCCAAAAGTCTCTGCAAGAATCTGATCTGATCCCCTTTATTTTATTAGGCATGAAATAATATTTTGATGAGAAGTGATTTATTCTCTTATTTTTATAAGGTATGGTAGCAAAGTATATATTTATACCTTTTATTTTATATAACGCTTTAGGCTAATACTTATTCATAGTGTTGCTAAACGGCCCGATTTGGGTCGATTAGACCACTTATTCATGTGTTTTTAATATCTATAATAACAGCTAACTCGTAGAATGACGAATAAATCAGAGATTTCTCCTTCATTGAATGATGATTAATTAGAAATTGGTCTATATGAGATGTAGACAAATTTATTTTTATTTTGATGAGGTAATCGTAATTCCTAAATTTTCATTATTTTTATTAAAAAAACTCTAATACAGTATAAACTAATAGTATATTTTAGCTAATTCGTAGAATGACGGATGAATCAAAGATTTCTCCTTAATAGGATGATGATTAATTAGAAACTGGCTTATCTTATGAGGTGTGGACCAATTTGGTTTAATTTTGATAAGAGATGATTTTCTAAATTTTCCATTATTTTTAAAAAAAAATTCTAATACAGTATATTTTTTAATATCTATAATAAC